CCTGGGCCGAACAAGCCGGACAAAGTTTCAGCAATCTCTATCTCTGTAGAGAGTATCCAGCTACGAGTTTGTTGTCTCACTGCTGGATCGCACGGTGGTAGAGGAGTTCCCTGCATTCGGTCATTGGCGAATTGTTCACTGTTGTGAGTGAGGGTGCGCCCAGAACGCCAACCCAACTCCATGGCATGAGATCTTTATTAATTATTAAATTTTAAACAAATTTTAAAAATAAGGTTATCCTTATTAAATCTCACTAACAACAAAGGCATGAGCCCCATGCCTTTGTCTTTTAAATTTCTTCTCCATTTTTCAAAATTTCTTCTCCATTTTTTCAAAATTTCTTCAAAATTTTGAATTTCAAATTAACGTATGCCATAGGAGTTGTAAGTTGGACGGTGGAAGCGTGCCGTCTGATGTCGGTTCCTCCTCGTGGTGGACGGTGGAAACGAGGGTTTTACCCTCGGCTAAACGCCGACAAAATTGGTGCTAGTTTTGGCAGTAATACACAGGGGTCGATACTTTAGTCTATTTCATGTTTCATGACCCCTGGTAGCACCTTTTTCAGATGAATACATCTTTGACTTATAGTTTTTGACCATTCTCACGATTTCTAAAACTTATTCATTCATCTTATTGATTTCTATAATATATTTCAGGAGACAAATAATTATATGCCTAGAAAAAACACAGATGATTAACAAATAAAATATCAGATCACATGAATTAGAGCATCTTAGCTTTTCAATCAATACGATTTTGATTTTGGGGCTAAAATGCTCCTTTCTCAAATATAAATTTAGAAGTTTTGTAATGACGAGCGTCCAAAGATTTGCCATTGATTTTGCGTAGAAATAATTTATCAATTGATCGAGATTTAATCTGTTGGAGAAGAGGAGGAAGAGAAAGATAAAGTAATAGAGAGAGAGAGGGGAGCAGAAAAAAAAGAGAGAAGAAAAGAAGGTAAGGAAAATGAAGGAGGAGAGAGAGGAGAAAAATGAGGAGAAAGGTGTTTTAGAAGAAAGACGGTGACGCTATATCGATACTTCTCCTTCCTAGCTTACAACCTCCCATCATAAAAGCAATGGAAAGGAGAGGGAGTAAAAAAGGGGTTCGTATGCCCCTCTCAAGGGAAGGAGTGAACTGTATTCCACGGTAATAAAACCGAGTAAAAATTGAAATTAATAAAAATAAAATTAATAATAAAAAATAATAATAATAATAATTAATAAAAATGAAACTGCGGGTGACCGAAACAACAATCAAAAGCGAACGGGATGGAAAGGGTGGTTGCATAGCTCTGTCCTGGAAATGAAATACGCCAAAAACTATCTCGCCGCGCAACTGGAAAAGTCCAGCCCAGTGGCCGAGGTTGTCGGATGTCACGGAAATGATCGACAAAGTGATCAATACAAAGGTGAAGGAGGAAATGGACCAGTCTTATTGATAGAAGCAGGTTGTTGCAAGGGCCAAGGAGGTGAGAAATTGTTCATCTACAACCCACAAGGGACTCTATAGTAATGTATCATTTTCCCTCTTAGTCTGTAACAACCGCCCATCCTAATAAATCCTAAAAATTTAACTTTAACCCCTCTTTTCCCAAACAAATGTTTGCTCTCAGACTTTTAGCTTTTGGCAGGAGAAAATATACGGCCAGTGAAAATCAATAACGCATTCTTAACTCAATTTTTTCGAAAATGTAGGTTGGTTCCTTTCTGATAACTCGGTCTGTTTGTCTCGCAAAATATTTGTAAAAAAATTATCTACGTTTCGGTATCAGTTGCGGAATATTGAGGTATATGGGAGAAGGTCCTTTCTCCCATGCATAGGTGTTCACACTTGTCTATGGGCTGATTTTTGGAATTTTTAGACAAATCTATAGGCAAAGAAGACATAGGAAGTATGGAGGGATCCTATTGGTTGAAATGAGTGGTTCTTATAGACTAAGGGAGTAAATTACGGACTAACACTGTCGGGTCTCTCGTGAGTTGCCGTTATACCCTAGTAACAGAACCATAGAACGAAAAGATAAAAATTATGCACGAAAGGTAATTTTATTCACATAATGCATGCATACGAAAAAGTTAAAAGTGAACATTTTTATGTAACCATTATATAAAAAAAGTCATAATTTTCGTGAGCTTTTCACAAAAATATTAAAGAATCATCTAATTCGCGAAAAGCTCACGAAAATGATGATCTCTTTTTCACATAATAGTTACATAAAAATGTTCACTTTTAACACTTTCATATGCATGCGTTATAA